CAGTGTGGTCAGTGCAACCCATGAGAACCCCAACAGTCAGGGTCTGAACAAGATACCAGGCCTGCCATTCTGACAAGAGTCAGCTCCCATTGGAAGGACTTCTCACTAAGGCTCAAGGCAGGCTGAGCAGCTGACAGCCTTCTACACAGGGCCTCTTCAGAGCCAGCATTCCTTGTCAGGCAGAGTACAGGCTCACCCAGCAACTGAGAAACCAATCCAGTGTGCACGGGAGGCCTCAGGCACCCAGCTGCTTACACATAAATCTGGACTTGGTGGTCTGGAGGTGTGGACAGAGGTTTGGAGTTAGAGCTATTCAAGAGAGGCAGCAAGAGCTATAGCAGCGTACAGTCCCCTCCAACGAGGAATCCCGGCCATTACAGGAGACCAGTTGTTCCCGGAGCTCCAGGGTCAAGGCTGAGAAGAATCCTCCCATTGGTGGGTCCTCAGCAGTAACTCTCCTCCGTGTGCTTGGATAGCAGGCAGTCTTCCAGCCTTGCTGGCAAGACTTGCCAGGGCACCCTCAGGGAAGCTCCACAGTGGGACTGAAAGAAACCGTGTGAGAGTGGCATTCATTAGCTCACGCACCAGCAAACATGCAAACCTGTATTCAGGGTGTGCTCTGTCAACCTCAAGGCCAAACTTTCTGACACTCCATAGGACTATTTTACCTGTATTCCTTTCAGAATAAAGGGACAAGGTCCTGAGTGCTGCCTTCTCTCCCTAACCTGAGAAGCCACAAATGCACTGTGAGAAACACCATGCTGCCGCACTCTCTGGACCTGGAGTTGAGTACATCACAGTTCTCGCATTTACATATTTAGCACAACATCCACTCACAACACATACATACACACATACACACACAATCACAGACACACAAGTGTGGGAGAACTATCAAAGCATCCTCCTTGCCTTGATCTAGAAATACAAGAGAGACACTGTATTGGCAGGAAGGGGGCAAGACTGAGAGTTGGGAGACCTGGTTTCTAGTCTCAGTTACGTGAACAAACCACTGAACCTCTCTGAATCTCAGGCTCCTTATCAGTGAACATGTGAACAGCATCCATGTCAGGAGGGAGGATGCTGAACATGTTACATATGATGCTATGACTTCCTAATGTTCATTTATTACTTGGGCTCCTATTGTTTTTGAGGGAAATGGAAAGGACAGCTTGTTTTCTAAAATTAGTAGTGAGAGGGTGAGTCATAGAGTTCTCAGGTATATGGATTCCAAAGTGGGAAAGAAGAATAAATATCTTAGCCTTTATCAGAAGAATCCCTATCCTGACTTGGCACAGTGACTCATGCCTGCAAACCCAGCATTTCAGGAGGTCGAGGCAGGTAGATCACTTGAGCCCAGGAGATAGAGACCAGCCTGGGCAACATGGTGAAACCTCATCTCTACAAAAAATACAAAAATTAGCCAGGCATGGTGGCGCATTCCTGTAATCCAAGCTACTCAGGAGGCTGAGGTAGGAGGATCATCTGAGCCCAGGGAGGTCGAGGCTGCAATGAGCTGTGATCCTGCCACTATACTCCAGCCTGGGTGACAGAGCAAGACCCTGTCTCAATAAAAAAGAATAGCCTTCCTTAGCCATCTTTTCTGGGTGTGTCCAATCTACATGGTTGTCTGGAGGATCAATGAAGTTAATATATGTGGAAACACTTTGAAATGTATACATTTAAATACATAAAGATTTACAATTGTTATAATAGTAGAAAATCATACGAGCCTACACCAGACCAAGTCCCTTAATTAGATGGCACGAGTCCTGTGATGATGGTGCTTGCGGTCATGTTCAGCTCCTAAACAGGAGACAGAGCAGCTGGGATGCAGCCCAGCCTCGGGGGTGGCAAACAGTTCACCACAGGGGACCCCGGAGCATGGGCACAGCTGCCTGATAATTGATACCCAGACAGAGGCGAGGTGATTCATCTGAGCACAAGGAGCCTCGGTGCTCAAGAGCGCAGGCTTTGGAGTAGACCGACCTGCTTCAACTCCCTCTGCCAGCGCTGGGGGCCTTGGGAGAGAAACTTCATCTCCCTGAGCCCCGGTTCCTCATCTGTACACAGGGATAACAACCCATGCCTAGCGGGGTTGATGATAAACATCATTATGTAAGTCCCAGGGTGCAGGCTGGGCCCAAGCTAAGTGCTAGGTGTACCACAGCACTATTATTATCTAGTACCCTGGTTAGAGCAAGGGGTGGGGACAGGCATGGTGTGGGGAGACAGTCCCCTTCATCCTCAGCAGGTGTTTCGGCTTAGAAGGCACGTGGCTGGTTCCCCAGGATGAGCCCACTGCCTCATACCAGGAGATGGGCCTTCCTCACATCTGAAATCATGGATTGCAGCATGGGACAAGGGGATAGTGAAGCATGACAACCCTTTGTCTCACTTAGCTCCACATACATGAGCATTTCTGTTTCTCAAAAAGGCAGAGGATTGGGGTCGGGCACAGTGACTCAAACCCGTAATGCCAGCACTTTTGGAGGTCAAGGTGGGCAGATCACTTGAGGTCAAGAGTTTGAGACCAACTTGGCCAACATGGCGAAAACCTGTCTCGACTAAAAATACAAAAATTATCCAGGCATAGTAGCAGGCACCTGTAATCCCAGCTACTCGGGAGGATGAGGAAGGAGAATTGCTTGGACCCAGGAGGCAGAGGCTGTAGTAAGCCAAGATCACTCCACTTCACTCCAGCCTGGGCGATAGAGCTAGACTTTGTCTCAAAAAAAAAAAAAAAAAAAAAGTGTGTGGGAGAATTAGGCCCACACTCACCTGAGTTCTAGAAAACCTAAGAAAGGAGAATATGCTTTGTCCTTCTCTTTGTCTCCCACCCCATTCCCAACCCTGACATGGTGGCCAAAGGAAGTTAGGAGCCCTTAGGCACCTTCTCACAGCTCTAATTATTACAGAGAAGATGTCAATCAAAGATGGCAGGGGCCAGGCACAGTGGCTTATGCCTGTAATCCCAGCACTCTGGGAGGCCGAGGCAGGCGGATCACTTGAGCCAAGGAGTTCAAGACCAGACTGGGCAACGTGGTGAAGCCCTGTTTCTGCAAAAAATGCACAAATTAGCTCGGTGTGGTGGCATGTGCCTGTGGTCCCAGCTATTCAGGAGGCAAAGGTGGAAGGATCACCCAAGCCTGGGAAGGTCAAGGCTGCAGTGAGCCAGGATCATGACACTGCACTCCAGCCTAGGTAACAGAGTAAGACCCTGTCTCAAAGAAAAAAAAAAAAGATACTTCAAAGATGGCAGGCAGGGGCAACAACCCAGGGACTTAGTTACCGAGACAATCTCATGCCAGTAGGGTCATGTGCAATGAACCCCTACAGGTTGAGGCAGGACAAAATGCAGAAGAGACATTAACACTTCCAACATCATATCTACAGTATTTCACTTGCTTCTTTATCTCCTCGCAGAAGGTCAGCTTCTTTCCTTCTTTCTTTCTTTTTTTTTTTTTTGAGACAGAGTCTTGCTCTATCACCAGCTGCAGTGCAGTGGCAATCAGCTCACTGCAAGCTCCGCCTCCTGGGTTCACGCCATTCTCTACCTCAGTCTCCCAAGTAGCTGGAACTACAGGCGCCCGCCACCCCCACCCGGCTTAATTTTTACTATTTTAGTAGAGACAGGTTTTCACGTGTTAGCCAGGATAGTCTCGATCTCCTGTTCTGCGTGATCCACCTGTGGCTTCCCAAAGTGCTGGGATTACAGGCGTGAAGCCACTGCCCGGCCAACCCTTTCTTTCTTTGAGACAGAGCTTCACACATTCTTATCGCCCAGGCTGGAGAGCAATGTGCAGTCTCGCTCACTGCAACCTCTGCCTCTCAGGTTCAAGCGATTTTCCTGCCTCGGCCTCCCAAGTAGCTGGGATTACAGGCATGCACCACCACGCAGCTTTTTGGTAGTAGTAGTAGTAGTAGTAGTAGTAGTAGTAGTAGTAGTAGTAGTAGTAGAGACTGGGTTTCACCATGTTAGCCAGGCTGGTCTTAAACTCCTGACCTCAAGGTGATCTGCCTCGGCCTCCCAGTGAGGGACCATGCTGGCCCAGCTTCTTGAAGAGATTTTTATCTGTTTGTTCATGCTATGTCCCTAGCACCCAGATCCATCCCCAGCACATGCTAGGAGATCATCAAATCCCAACATGTCCTGGGTGGAACACATGAAAACGTCCTGCTTACCTGGTTTCATTTTTTTCATCCTCAGCCATCCACGACACTTGCAGAGAGCAGAGCTCCCGGCCTGGGGATATGCTGGTGTTCTCAGGGTCTTCTGCACAAAATGTCAGTCTAGGAAGGAAAAGAAACCATTGATGTAGCCAGAACTTTAGGGGGAATCCAGCTGTGCTTTCTGGATTCAAGGCAGACGGAGTGAGAGGCAGAGTGAAATTTTCATGCTGTACCCTGACTCAAAGCCTTCAGAATTCCCCATTGCTACTGCAGGGACTCTAAACTGTGTCTCACGTTGAAGCTTCCATGATTCAGCCTCATGCAGCCTCAGCCAGACCTCTCCCACCTGCTTCCCTCTGTCTATCCAAAAGGCCACCTGCCTGTCAAGGCCATAGCATCTCAGAAGCCTCCCTGACTGTTTGAGCCCTCATTAACCTAATCCTCCCTTGGCCTTTCAACTGGTTACAAAGTATGTCCTTATATAAATATTGCTTTTGTTAGTGTTGCTACTTCTTGCAACATAGAGTTAAAAAAAAAAAAAAAAAAAAACGTTTATTTTAAAACCTTATGCCCTATGTGAAATTGCTTGCTGATTTCGGTTGACTCCTCCACCCTAGACCGTAAACAGACGGAGTGATTCAAAGTACCTCCTAGTCAGTGCTCTGTAAATATCATTGGCAAGGCAACTGCAACACCTCAGCTGCAAAGTCAAATCAAAGACTCAGCAAATGGACAACCCAAGACTCACAAGAAGAATCAGAGCCTAATAACCATTTCCCTGTAACTTTGCGCTGCCCCATGGCCTCGGGCGTGTGAGTAGCGTGACCCGCATCAATCCTTAAGTGTGGCAGGGCACACCTGACCCTGGAGCTGAGGCAGGACAAAAGCCCCATTCACCAACAGTTTAAACGTTTCCAGAAGCCCTAAGGACCTTAGGACCTATATGTTTAAGCCCATATAAAAACATGACCTATCTCCACACCGCACAATCAGGAAATGCAAATTCAAACAACAGCAGGGGGCCCATTCACACCTAACAAAATGACAAACGTCCCACAGACATGGATGAAAAGGAGGAAAAGGAACTCTTCATCCATGAATTAAGATGGAAAATTAGTTCAACCACTTTGGAGACAGATTTAATAATATCCATTCAGGCTGGAGAATGCATATACTACAACCCAGCAATTCCACTTTTTTAGAATTACATGCTGAAGAACAGCCCATACACACAGGTGCACAAGGAAAGTGCAGAGGATGTTCATCTCAGCACCATTTGTAACTACAAAATCAATAACAACAACTTATTCAGCAGAACAATGGCAAAACTATTTGTGCAATGGTGATTTACATACAGAGTTAAGCAAGA